TAGAGACTTTACTTGCTCACTGAAATTACTGAATTAATATTTTGTTAGAGAATTGATCAAAAATGGATCCAGAAAAATTGAATTAAAAAAATATTCTAATTTTTTGCTGTCACAGTCACTGTCTCGTGAGATCAACTTTCACTCCTACGTTCACTGCAATCGAGGTATTGATCAGTTTCATATAACACGGAAAATATTCGTAATAATTTAGGCTGAGAAATATATATAAGAACCAAAAAGTCAATTAACGGGCAGGATAATTTGTCTTATGGTTTCTTGACTTTTACTGCGGCAAACGACAAGGGCAGGTGCCTCGAGTTCTTTATAATATCCCGTGGGTTGATGGTCGTCTGAAGAGCCATAGCTCCTCCGGAGCAGCCTCAGTCTGTAATTGAATCATTCTAAATGACTCTCATAAAACTAAATTGAAGCCAATTAGTTCAGCAGCGTGCCGATGAACCATACCAAGCAGCCCCGAAAACGATAATGATTTTTTTTTCATCTTCATGGTCAGTCTTTGAATCTTTATGTTGGAATCAGAGCATTTTTTTGTTCCAAATCAGATTAGAAAGCAGAAAAATTGACAAATAAGTTCAATGACGCGACCTTCAATATTAAAGTGGTGATGTCAGGTGGCTTATAACGCAAATCATATAAAATAGGTAGGAATGGAATAACGCTTCGTAATTATTGAAATGTTTGCGTGAAGATCTATAATTTATTTCCTAGAGGGGATTAATTGAGATTGAATTCAATGTATCCATCCAACTTGTGGTTATAACAACTTGCTCTAGTGTACCTTATCTTTCAATTTTTAAATAATCAAATTACACTGCATTAGGAAAGCGATAACTTCAAATTATAAGAAGAATTTAAATGAAGTATACCATTCAATGACCGACAAACAGATTTAGTTTAGCTGGATTCTCTCTTAGATTTGAGTAAAAAAATGTGTAAGATTCTATGCCGCGCAGAAAAATCTCCTTAACGAACGAGCGTCATTAGCAGCTGTCATGATTCAACGCTGCGAAGTCAAAGCACGGCAAAGATCGCAGATAAAAATTTAAAAGAGCCGAGATACGTCACTTGTTTTCTAGCCAACAGGCTACGGAGCCTTGAAAATATTCTTTGTCTGAGAATCTATTGAACGCTTCTTCTTGGAAGCTAAGTTCTCCTGAGGGAGAGTCATGATAGAATTCCCAGTATAATAGCCGGCTGTTAGCGGCATACAAATACTGTTTTAATGAATAAACTATATTAATGAATAATGTATCGTTCCAATTCCAATAACAGGGAAAACTTGCAGGGAAACCCGCATTTTATCGGGATTGATTATCCCTGTCCTACCGCCGAATTTAATGCAAAATCTCATTCAAGATTTTGTTGAAACAACTCTATCCATAATTTGTATGATTAATAATATCCTAAAATAAGATGTTGCGGGTGATGATAAACAGCAAGTTAACCGTGTTGTACTCACGATGTTCTAAATGAAAATTTTCAGGTTAATCGAGCTGTGTTGGGTTGCAGGTTAACCGAGCTCTGCTACAGAGCTTTGAGTAATAAGTAGCGGGATAAATGAGCAGTGCACCAAATTTTTAGTTGATAACTACCAGGGTATCAGAATTGTACTCCAAATGTTGTGGATGATATGTAGCAGAAAAAATGTGCATATAACCAAAAATAATTTGAATTCTCAAACCGCATATCCAAAATTCATGCTTGTCAGATTTTCAATCACGGTATGAATTACTTATGAAGTGGAACGTCATTTTTATAAACTAAACATGAATCTTACAGCTCCTTTTTCCGTGCTTATGTATGTAATGAGAACAATAATACATGTATAAAGTTATTTATTTCTCTCCATACATGCGAAAATAGAGCAAGAAGGCATTCTTCAATTATTTTCATATTAATAGCAAGAACTCTGAAGCTGGCAACAGTTAGAAACATTCTTCTTTTCGCTACTAGTAGGGATTATAATAATTGAAAGTGAGTGCATGGCAAAGCTTCCTTTAATAAAGAATAATTCATTGTGTAGCCAATATTTTTTATCTGCCTTTATTTATCGCACAGATTGGCCAGCGAATCATTAGAAATTTCTTTTATCCAAAGAACACAACGCATATTTTTTTACGATGTTTGATAATCCACAGGCAATTCGAGAACAAAATTATATCATGCCTCCGTTTAGTGCTGCTATCTCCACGAACTGGCGTGCCGGACACTCGAGCCAAAAAATAAAATAAAACAAGAGCAATTTTGACCTGCGGTTTCAATATTGCAACTATCGAACATTCTAAAGACGATAATATTTCAGTGAAGAAGGGTCACCAGAGAATATTCGGCAACGCATGCTCCAAACTTCCTTCCCAAAAGCGGAAATAATGCCGGGCACTAGCGGGTGGTCCAGGTTTCAATATTCAGCCGTTTTATGCGCACTAATGCATAATACATTGAATATGGATCGAGCTGCGGCAAGACGCGAAAGAATTCCTATTTTTGCCTCAACGCTTTCTAAAAAATGAAATGTCATTCTTACTGTAACCACACGGTACTCTGAGCTGACTGTACACTTTAAAGCTGACTGTACAGCTTTTATACTCTATTTAGAAATGTTTGGAACACACGCTTTGATCATTTTAAAGTCGTAAGTTGACGGAAGATAAAGTGAGGAGTATAAATGTTGAGTGTTTTAAGCATTGTGTAATCTACATTATTCTGGGTAGACGTAACTTGACTTAAGATTAAGTGTGGCGTACGAACGATGAATGTTTTAAACAATGTTCATCTATATTTTATTTATGAATATTTTAAAGACTTAGGCTGTTAAACACAAGCAGGTTTTCCAGCGCGTATACCTACAAGCCTGCGCATGATGTGTAAGAATATTACCTCGATCATATTCATACGAATCAAAATAAAAAATTGATCAAATCAAATCTAAATTCTCGATCAAATTTCATTTTTAGTCATAAATTGCGAGAAATTTCTGCAACGGGTGAAGAGGATTGTAGTAAAATATTTATTATTTTTGGATGATTAACTAGGTAAAATTTTTGTTCGAAAAATAAAAAATTCAAACTTCATTGAAACTATTTATCGAGTTGAGAATTCTATCTCAATATTTGGTCTGAAAAAATCTTCGTTTAAGTAAAAATATTTAGTTGTGAAATATTCGAAATTATTTCGAATATTTTGAAATTCTTTGACGAAGACGGAAAAATTGGAATATCCACTTACAGGTAATGCCGAGGGAGTAATGTATGCTACATTGCAACAAAGTTGAGGTAAGTCATCTTATATAAGCAATATGATCGTTTATTTATTAGATTATCGTTTATTTTAAACTTACTTCAGGGAAACCAATGCAACATTTCATCGTTTTTTTTTTCTTCGCATATCTTTTCAAAATATTTACGGTAGAATTTTTTACATTTTTAGGTCAAGTGATCACTTAACTTGAAACAAGGAAATGGTAAATAAAAAAAGTGCAGCCACCCGAGGCCTGAACTACTCTAATGCATGCTGAATAAGAGGCCCATGAGACGAAACGATTTGCGTTTGAAGCTTCGGCTTCTCTAGACAAATAAAAGATAAATAGAACAAAGAAATGCCAGCGCTCGTTTTTTTTCCGAACTTCTCGTGGTCTTTTGCTGTCACACTGCAAAAACTGAGATTTTTATATTCTTTTTTTTTTACTTCTGGAAGCTTGTCGTAAAAAATTAAACTATTGATAAAAGAAGCTAATTCTTCCTGTATGTAGTATTTTCTGTGTGTCCATGAGATCGTAAGTACAAGTTTGGTATGATGGTGTGAGCCTTCGTCTGAATAAAAATATTTTCAAATATAAATTGTATATCAATACAGTTAGTAAATCTGATTGATTTTTGTCATTTAACGAGTTCTCCAATTGACATTCATTTGCAATTGTTGTCGTCGTCCTTCGAATCGTGTTTAAAATGCAAGATATATTCATTGCAGGAAGTTTTTTTTGAAAATACGGCCTAAGTTATGGGAGTTTAAAGAGCACGCGCTTAACCTACATACCAAGTAAGTTCATATTAAGATCATCCAACATTCGATTCCCGCATTTCTTTATGAAATTGGACTATAATAACAGTACAGCTTCAGATAAATAACAGGAGGTAAAATTAATACTTCTATCTTTTCTAAATTATCTTCAGAAGCGCTTGTTAGAATGAATGGTCTGATTTTTTTCGAGAGTGATAACTTCCCGAAATATTTGGAGGCTAGCATTAATGTACATTTACATAATGCAAGAACAACAGCAAAAAGCTGAGTTGCAACAGAAATCTGGCTTTTAGGCCGAAATAACGAAATGTTTTGTTTATTAGTTCATTTGTTGCCATAAACTTTTGGATGGTTAAAATTTATTTCAGCTTATTCACAAATATTTGTCAATTATGAATTCAAATAATAGGAGATGACATATCAAGTAATGCGTATTGATGTAACAAGTGTACTATTACAATTGAAATATAGACTCTATATCCTGAATGTTTAATACTAATCTACGCCCATTGGTATACTGAAGAATTCCATATTAGCTGGGCGTTGCCAGCGTACTGTGATATGTCGTCTTCAATTATTTGTTGCGTTCGCTTTAGAGCAAGCATTTAATAGTGAGGAGAATTACATTGCATGGAGGTAAATGCAGTCAGTTGCATGGACACGGAATATGTCCACATTAAGAAGGCATCGTAGTTATTTCAATGAACCTAATTTAACTATTTATACATGAATTTATTTACATTAATTGTACTCAACAGTGACTGAGAAGACATTGACTGACTGGTTGGTCCAGTCAGTTGCATAGACCACAAATACCCCCATATCAACAATGAATCGTAATCAATCTTCAATTTACTCCATTTAATTGTATATACATAAAATTATATATAATAACTTCATTCAACAGGGACTGAAATCAACACACACGCACAGAAATAGTTTCGCTCAGCGCCAGTACTTACCTTGTGGTGGCGTACGTGTGACACGGAGTATCTGTTTTCCGAAGAGTAGACTTGTTGACCAGCCGTCAGGATCTGCTCGTCGTCACGCTTCAGCCATGTAACCTACAACATAAAATGGTCTACGTCAAGGATCTTGTAGTGCAGCATAGTAAGCGGTTGCATGTATGTGCACCAGAATTCCTGATCTACTGGAAAATTGAGATTGAGGTAGGTTCTTTTCAAGAAAATTAAAAAATAAAATTCAATCTAGTTACTCGGGACAATTTGGCACAGAAAATTTGTTACAATTAAAGTCATCATTGCATTCAAAATTTATATTGAGAGCTTTATAAACTTTCATTCCAGTTCATAAAGCCGTGAAATTGGTACCCGCTGCTGAACGTTATCAACGAGAAAATTCATGAAAATCTGAAAGGTAAATAAGAAGGCGGGAGAAGTTTGAGCTGAAGTGCCAACACCTCGCGTGCTCGCTTCAAAATGTGGATCCGGCAGCGATCGATCAGTTTTCACTTTAGTCCGAACTTCCAACTGACTGCTAGTAAACTCGCCTCTTCTGATTTTATATTTACCGCGTCCCGGACCGTAATACTGCCAAAACTACTGCTTTCCCGCGAGATTCAGAAGTCCTAACCTAATACTACAGCCCATAAATTGTGCGCCTAACTGCTGGCCTCAAGAAAACAATAAGACAACTTTGCTCGGCAGACCTTCAAGTTGCCTTCCGTCTCGCCCTTTTTCAAAGGTGTTTTAGCGAGGCACCTCTGTAGATGTCATAAAAGGGACCAAAAGATAATTGATTAAATATTTTACCATCTCTCTCACTCACCCTCCATTGGCACGAGATGTATTGAAACATTCCTGCAATTTAGCAACTGACTAAATGGTTTTCATCCACATCATCGGTTGTGGAAGAGATTTCAATTATTAACCATAAGATTATGCCAAGGCAAATGGTGAGAGAAGTGTTATTTCTGCTATATTCTTATATATAACATTATTAATTATTTAAACTAAAGAAATGCTAGCTCATAATCACGATCACGATGTATTTCCTTCTATGGCAGCAATGTTTTGGCTCAACATTTTAAATTAACTAGGGTTGTAACCGAAATCGTCAGCGAGGGCTAATGATTTTTCTGGTGAATATTTTTATTATAAAGATATATCAATAAATAGAAAATTAACTATATTCTGCCGCATGATTCCGTATATTCTTAGATGTTCGATCAAATTGTAACAAATTCCACGGATAACACTGCTGCCGAACAGCCGGCTGTCCAAAAATGAGATTATTGTATACAAATGGATATACAGATAATAATGAATAGCTTAAATAAATGGTTGAGTTTATAAGTATTATTTAAAAAGAACGTTACGTAATCCATCAATTATAGAACAATGGATAAATTGAAACTGATGGTCCAAAAAATTGCATTCGACTTTTTGATGTATTACAATGTCGGAGGTGATTACCAGAGAGTTGATTGCAAGATTTTTGGTGATTACGAATATAAATGGGCAGAGAAAAGTTCACTGCTCCTGCTGACTTACTTTTAGAGCAACAAACAATCAAGTGAATTAAATCCGCTGCGTCTTGCATGAATAGCAATAGCTTTTCGATTCATGATTTATAGTGTCTACCATTGTTATCTCATAGAGAAGTCACCTTCACACAAGGATATTTTTCGTCAAATCCTTAATAATAATTACAATCTGGGAACACAACAAAATATTTTATCGAATGTTATTCCTTTTATCTATTTTTTTCGTATATATAATAACTATTTCATCTAATGAGTGAACGTTGACTGATGCTTTACTAACTTTTTCTCGACACGATGCAATTAGTGGTACGCAGACACTTCGTTAAATTCTTTCCTAATTCCCTTTCTCCGGCATCAGTAATTTCCTTTCAACTAAACAAAAACTCCAACTCGTGACGTTGTAATAAAATTGAGCATTTTATCGTCAGTCTTTATAATTTTTTTGACAATTCATCATCATCGAGCTCGAATTTTAAGGCAGATCGAGCCGCTGTGTTGTTCACTTCGTAGGATAGTCATTCGCATTGCATCGTAAAATGTTCATCATAATAATTAAGTTTAGTCAAGTACAGTGTATTAAAGCTTCAGATGCTTCGATCGCATTGATATTGATGTCGGCTAATTGCGAATTATCAAACCGAAAGAGTTCTTTGAAGTCCAGCGAGGCTTCCAAAATTCAAATGTGAATTTCTTTCGTACTTTCAGTTTTGCGTATCATTATATGCGAATCAGTCACATCTAAAGCAATTCACTTTTTAGTTTGAATTCAAATATTTGTTTTAAATAATGGAAATAGCGCTAAGGTTCTAAAAGCAATCAATATATGTTACAATGTAAACGGTCAACTATGTCTATTGCAAAAAACTCTGCTCGAAGACCGCACATTATTGGAATTATATAATTTCATAAGTAGAAATTATTTATTTTAAGGATAAGCAGTGTCTGCCAACAATTAAATAAAATTAAATAAATATCAGGCTGGCCATTAAAAACATAACGAATTTGTAGCCAGGTTTCAGCAATTATAGTCCACGAGGACAAATTGTAACGTAGGTGAACGGTCTGACAAAATGTTGCACAGAACTCAAAGTTTTTACTTGAATTTCTAACTTCGCTCGGATTTCGATCAACGTGCAAGCGTGTTTTCCCTTCATCGAAGAAGAGGCAATTCAATCGGACGGTTGCCTTTGGCCGAGCAGCATCGAGGCACTTGGGAATTCTTGACTCTAACGCGTAGGCGATTTCAGTGCCACGATTCTCTAATGGGGGATTTCTGCGATAGAAAATATTTTTCTTTAAGCGTTGATGGTTCGCCGACCGTCATTCTCTAATAGATGGTTCCTACTACAAGAAAAATTATTTTCTTTGAAGCTTTGGTAATTTGCTAACTTCAATAATGTTCAGTCTTTATTCTCATTAAATAATAAACTCGTGCAAGTGCAACTAAATTTTGTGAGCTAAGGAATAATTTGTTCAAAGTTTGCTACATGCTCGTGAAATTTAACCTGCAAAGTATTTTAAAATTCCCGGTATAACGTATAATGAAAAAATTACGGACTTTTGCGATGAATTTTGTTCGTAATGCGGTGTGTTTTTCGTCCCATCATGAGTCAATCGAGAGCATAATTATGACGAGTATGAGAGCGTTTTAATTTGGCATGGCTTGTAAATTACTTCATTGCCATCCTTTCAATTATAGAACGCATTTACCATCGATCGCTTGGGCATCGCCAGGTATAAGGTAATAACTTTAGTGCGTCAAGAATTGAAGATACAGTGCGCCAGCACGAGATTAACATTAGCACAAATCTATGCCCTGCAAATGAATCCTATTTCTCCAGAATATTAACCCTATTACCATCGATTTCGGTATTATAGGTTATGGCGAAGGTACAGGGAGGTAAAAATCCATAGAAAATGATTCACTTTATTTGCCGGCCAGAGAAAAGCTGCGTTGACTGACATCCTCATCAATATCAGCAATAGAACCCGGTGCACGTGCAGAAATTATTATTTTATAATTCAGGAGCAACGAATAATTAAAATTTACGAACCACTTCTTTCAACCAAAATATTCTAGGATTTTGTGTGACCAAAGCCAAGCGAAAAATATTAATTCAAAATTTATGCAAGATGCGACGCACAGAAAATAATTATTCTTCATCTAAAAAATTCAGTCGTTATGCGTTTATAAAACAACTTTTATCGCGATACTCGTTAGTATCGAAATAAGTTGGAAAAAAATTAAAAGATATTTCAGTGTTAATTCGGAATAAATCTGGAGAGTGTGCATAGAAATGTTGACTAAGATCTTAACCAGTCGCTACAGGATCACAATAACATTTCCAATTAAGTAATATCTAAAAAATTTAACTCAGTACTCAGTGCAGTGAGTGACATATAACGCATCTCTCGTCAACGAAAACGTGAAGTCACGGAAAGACAGACAGACGGACAGACAGACGGACAGACGGACGGACGGACATGGCGAGCACAATAGTGCATTTTTTCCATAAATTAGAAAATGCGCTAAAAACATTGAAATTTATTACCAGAGCTTAAGAGGATATACTTGTATTTTTTTTCAAACTTGTTGCAACAGAAATTTCATCAATTCTTTCGTCCAATATTTTCCGCCTCTGCAAATTTTTGAGCCTGCTATCCGGCTTTCCTTACCGCCCACTCCGTATTTGTTTCTAATGAAAGGTGAAGCTTGCACCGACCACTTAATTTCGTGCACTTTTGGTGTAAAGCTTTACGCGGGCTAAGGATCCCAGAAAGATACACGAAACGGGGGCTATTGCAACGTAGCCACTTGGTTCTCTTGCCACGAGATGGAAGGCAAACTCTTTCTCTGCTTTCATTTAATCGAGAGAGACGATTACCTGGCAGTGATCTCGCGTTTCATTCCGTGGTTTGTTGGTTAATCCCGCTCCAATCCTGGCAATTCCAAGGGCATCTCGGAGGCGCTCCACTCCAGAGTCCAATTCTTTTTCGGGTGCTTTTATACATCTTCCTTGTCCGCTACGAGAGCTCGGCCGTGGAGTTTGAAGCTTCTTCTCAATAGATCGCAAGCCCGGCAAAATATCGCTCGCTTGTTCTTACTTTGCCCAGGCGCAATTCTTTGCAGTGTATTGAGTCACGTGCTGCGAGACTGAACAAGAGTGTTGGTAGAATAATACCATTTGTAACTGAAAGAAGTTAAGATCCATAAAAGAGATCCTAGAGGGCTATTTTGACCTTGAATCATAAATCTGATGAACATCTTGATAAGTGAATTTTCAGTAAACAGGAAAATAAAGACTAAATAATTGTAGGAAATAATAATCATTATAGTCGTTCACATAACTATTTTTATGATTAAGATTAATAATTTAGATGAAAACTATGAAATTGCAGTTTTTTTTTCAAAGTGGAATTTCACACATTTAGAACACATGGCAGGAAGGAGGGGCGATAAATCTCATTTCTCTTGGTACTCTAGGAATTGCACCATACCAAAACCCGTAAAACTTCCCCCTAGGCTATAATTTTTAGATACTTCAATGCCTTCAAACT